ACGCACTTCATCCACTTTGACTTCTTCTCGCAAATAGCACTTTATATCAACCCGACTTCATATTGAATTCCTATCGAAATTGTCAGTAAAATTCTGCGGAAAAAGGTTTTAAATACTTCACTTCGCCGTGATCAAACATGAGGCTATTACACACAGTGATCCAATGCTAAGGTTCATAGGTCAACACCCAAGTATATAAGAGTAAAGATCGGTTAAATGAGACTTGATAGTTTTCACATTATCTCACCTACCTCTTGTTAAGTGGCCTCAAATTCAGCCGCGAGAATGTCTATACTGGCAACAACCATCTCTGCCAATTAGCTTAAATCCATTTGTTGGTAAAAAAATAATTGGTAAGCTTTAATTCAATTGTGAGATAAATGCGAAGAAACTGACTTCAATCTTTATGACTGACCTTATCATTTCAGAGTAATTAAGAGGTTTAGAATTTATGGATCTGGAGTCAATTATATATTATAAGCTTGTTGACCCTAGTGGAAACTGCATTTTCAATCTGATGTTTGTAGAAGGAAAGTGGACGGTCGGGGAGAGGGGTAGAGAGGGGAGAGGGAAAAAACTGGCATCGTCATGTTCTCTTTGGCCCACTTCAAGCTGAAACGCGAACTTCTTTTGAAAGTTTGCCATTTCAAATGTGTAATTATGGGAAAGCTTTTAAAAGCCTTAAACAGTAATTCCAATGGAGGATAAACTTGTTTGAGAAGCTGTTGAGTAGAAAGTCTTTCATTTAGGTACAGAACTTCAAAGACATTGTAAAGGAGTTAGGGAAAAGTTGTTAACTAACGGACGACAACTGTAATTCCTTAATCGAAATGTTAATCATCACGAATTGACGCAGCTATATGGTAAAATGGGGTGCGCGATAGATTTTCTTCCACGTGGTGCATTCTGGGCAATGTATTCTCATACTTCAAGAATGTCTATAAATCACCAGTTGACTCCTTACTTCAAACTACCATGACCCCACCGTTTGTTATATTGGTCGGGAGGTCGGAAATTTATGACTCCTATTAATTGGTGGCTATGGAAAACATTTCTCGATTTGAATAACGCGCGGTTTCTTGCCACCACTTTAAATGAACTGGCTTCTAACACTTGCTGGCATTCTAATCTGACCAGCTCGAATCGGGTTGGTGAAATAGGATTCCCAATGCCACGAAGACCTTTTCACTGCTCATAAAACTGCATTCATGATCTATTGCTAATTATTTATAATATTTACACATTTGTTTGAACTTTTGGGGTAACACATACCATCAAAATGCTTTAGTGTGTCATTGGGCTCAGGTCTTTGTGAAATTTTATGACAGTAGAGAGGCAGACAACAAATTCTTTAAGGACTCGATAAGTGATATTAAATAAAAAACATCCTTATCCAATACTGAGAGTAAAAATTGAATGTCATTCAAACTGATGTACCAACAAGAGGTGTGCGATAGACTTACCTCCACGTGGTGCACCCTGGGCAACGTATACTCATACGGCTAAAAGGTTTATTAACCGGCAGTCGACTTCTGACTTCAAACTACCATCACCCCACTGTATGTCATATTCGACCCCTTCCACAGTGCTCACCTTACCTTTTCTCTGCCTTTATGTCTATCTCTCTGTCTGTCTTTTTACATCTGTGAATCTTTATTCTGTCCCCCCCCCCTCTCGACATTTTGTCACTTTGATGTTCCTTCTCCTCTCTGTGAAGCCCGAAGTCAGCTAAAGGGCTAATGATAAGTATCAAAGAGCCTGCCATTTGAAATAAATAAATGTACCAACAACGCATCCTATGAATCTGCTCCAGTATCAGTTTTCTATCTGAATAGCTAAATTCCATAATGCTAACTAGAAGGGAGGTGATTGAATGATAGGCATTTAAAGTTATGCAATCCTAATGGTTGCATTATCCCTTTTAACTTATTAAAAAAATACTTAATAATTTAAATAAGTATTGACAGAAAATAGAAAAATTATTTCTATTTCCTAATAATCAGAAAGCATTTCAATCTTTGAAAAGTTAAGTCATTGAAATGTAAAGTAACTGTGGGCTATACAGGTGTAGCGGATTGCTACCTTAGTAAAACCTGACTGACTCAGAAATCTATATGGCAGATTCTCCAACATCTAGCTAGACTCTCAGAACAAGCTAAGCTATAGCCCAGCTATAAGGGAAACAGACGTGTAGCCCGGAATACGTTTATTCGGTACGTATATTGATAGCGAAGTGTAATGTTGGCAAAGCGATTAGTTAACAGGTAACTCTAACATGATTCGTGGGAACATTAATAGCTAAATATTTCTGAGTAAGCAGGATTTCTATTGGTCATTGATGAAGTGTCCCACACAGGTAAAGTTTTAAGACTTCAGGGTTATTTTAATGAAATCCAAAATACTGGGACTCATGCCTTCAGGTGCGAGACCTCAAATTTAATTATCTTACTCTTCAGAGAGTTCATAACAGTAATTATCATTAGTAATTGATGATCGGCCACGTTAACTTTTTACTAATCCAATTGTCTACCATTCGGCAGGTTTCACACTATTTCGTTCAAATTAAATAGGATAGAGTTACCAATAATTTTATTAAAATCTACATTTTTTAAAAGGCAGGCTTTATGATATTTATCATAAGCCCTTTAGTTGAGTTCAGGCTTCACAGAGGGAGAGGAACATCAAATCGAAAAAAGTCGAGAGGGGGAGGAACAGAAGAGTGTTTTAAAGATGTAAGAGACAGACACAAAGGTAGATGAAAGGTGAGGTGAGTACTGCGGAAGTATTATTTTAAAGGGCAGGCTTTATAATATTTATCATTAGCCCTAAAACTTTGATTTCAGCTTCCCAACATGAGTGGGGGTACATATGTAGCAGTCAATTAAAAGAAGTTCAATACCTGTCTTCTTGCTTCCCAGTTTCTCGCGCTTTCCGTTGTTGTCTTTAGGGCTGGAAACCGAAACTGCTGGGTCTTTTCCTTTTACTCCTGTTGGTCACATAGGGGGCATGTGGATTGAATGTACACTCCCAATCTGTGAAGGTGTTTTGACAGGCCATCGTGTCCGGTACCTAGTCAAAACTCAACAACGTCTTCGATTCTTGGCCAGTCGGATATGTCGGAGAGTGCCACTGACCACTGTTTCTCCTTTTTTCGAGCTTTAAGTTCTTTGCACCTTGAGGTCTTGAATTCTCTCCTGCTTAAAGCCTTCATTGTGTGGAAAGACATCGGCCGGTCTATGTTTGCAAAATCGTTGTCCCCTTCTTAGCAAGTGTGTCAGCAAGCTCATTGCCTTTAATGCCACAGTGACAAGGAATCCATTATAGGACCACTGTTTTGTTTTTCTCTCTCAGCAGCTGATTGAGTTTTCTACATTCCTTTATCTCAGCTGTTTTGAGTGGTCCTGTTTTTCCAAATGAGTTTATTGCTGACTGTGGGTCCGACAGTATCACCGCTTTGGTGAATTTCGCATCCATGCAACATAATTGGCATAGTGCCTTCCTAATGGCCTCTATTTCTCCTTCAAAAGCGGATCTATTGTGTCCCGCTGTTGCGTAGAAAGAGAAGTGTTCAGAGTAGACACCTGCACCAACGTTTGCTTGGTTTTCAATGTTAGACCCTTCTGTGAAGATTTGGAGCCAATGATCTGCAGGAAAGTTGATATTGATTGTCTCAAGGGCCAGTGAGCGCATCTATTCTGGAGGGGTGTTTGATTTCCTGAAGAGGTCAAGCAGTTGTTTGCAACACACTACATCAGTGTCTGCTAATGGGTTCATGGGTAGAGAGAGGCTTTTTGGTTTGTCATCGATTTGTAATGTTTTCTTCAGTTCTGTGGCTTTCTATATTAGACCAGATTGCGTTTTCAGATGTCTTGGTCCATTCTCATAGATGCTGAAGAATTTGTTCATGGTAATGTGCAGTAGCTTCTCATACAGGATCAAGACCTTCTCTTTGATAAGGGAACACATTGTGGTGCTCCCTGTAACCAGGAGCATTGCATCAATGGGTGTTGATTTTATCCCTCCAGTAATAAATCGTAATGCTTGGTTGTGTGCCCTCTCGAGTGGTTTGAGAGTGACCTCTGTGGCTGTAATGAGTGGCTTACAGAAATACAACATTATTGGCTGAATAAACATCTTGTAAGTGGTGTTGAGAGTTGAGCGTGCACAGCCCCATATGATACCATCAAGGCGCTTCAGTACATTCAGTCTATTGGAGAATCGTTCTGCTATTTTATCAATGTGACTTTTCCATGTTAGCTTTGTGCCAAACGTCATTTATATGGTAGTATATTTGTACCTTAGAAACAGGTTTTTGCTGTGACGGGCCAAAGAACATATTTGGAAAGCAGTTTTCGCGGTGTTGATTACCATTCCATTATTGTCGCACCAGTTTGCTAGTAGTTTAATTGCACAATTTAGGGCACTTTCTGTCCTCTCCTCGGCGTTTTTCTTAGGGGCGGAATACCATAGAACAAGATCATCTGCATAAAGTAAGCACTGGATGCCCCTGACTGTCTGCACTAATTCAGCTATGTCATTGTTGAAGACATTGAAAAGAGTGCAACTTGTGACAACTCCCTGTGGATGGCCTGATTGCAAAAGGTTGGATTTTGATAGAGTATTTCCATATCTGACTTTACGTGATCTTTGTCAAATGAATGCTTTTATCCAGTTTAGCATGTTATGCTTAATACCAATCTTTGCCAATTTTAGAATTAGCTTCTCTTTCCATACTAAGTCATATGCTGATTTGAAATCGACGAAAACAGCCGTAAGAGTATTTCTTGCATCAATGACATCTTTGATATGTTGGGAGAAAGTGGCTACTTGTTGGTTCGTTGATCATTGTGACCTAAAAACTGCTTGTTCATTGATAATAATATTGTTGGTCTCAAGGAACCAGGTCAGCCTCCTGTTAACCATTCTTTCCATAAGTTTAGCCAGCACGCTTGTGTGGGAGATAGGAGTAAAGTTGAGGGGACTTGTGTCAAGTTCATTCTCTAAAAGGTTTGTGAATCTAGGCCAGAACCAGGATCGTCAGTTATTTTTCGGTGCGTATGCTCGCTGATGTCGCTTGAAGCCAGGAGGAAGTCAGGAATTGTTCTGGTTCCATTGTAGTGCTGATACGTAGCAGGATCCTCATTGGTATAAATAAGTTCCAGAGGGTTGCTGTTTAGCATGTCTTCGATTTCCTTTCCAGCTATGTTTGTATCCTTATAGCCCCATCTAGTGGAATGGGCGTTGAAGTCTCTTAATACTACAGTTTTTTGTGTGATGTTCGGAAGATCAAAGTTGGGACTGTTCGGGGGTGTAGTATAGATTGTATATATCTTGAAGTGGTTTTGAAATTTTCAAACATTTAATCTGTTTATTTCCCACTTGTTTTGCATCGAGCCCATACTCTTGATTAGATCGTAATGTGATGTGAGGCCATCTTTTACTCCATTCAGAATTCCACTTGCAACTTGCGGTATTTATGTAGAAGGTACAGGGTGTAACCTGGGAATTGGTAATAGTTCAGTTTGACATCCGAAAGGTTTGCTTCCATAATTGTGAAAATGTCTACATCATAGGTTTGTAGGATTTTCTGTACTTGGATCTTTTTGTCCTGTGACATCCCTCCAACATTCCACTGAAGGATCTGTAGACGTTGTGATTCGCCCTGACGAGGGCAATTTCTCTTATAGCTTTGGTTCAAGCTAATCATAATAAATAGAAGTCAGATCAAATGCCGAGTGATAGATTTTTTGCCGTATGAAGATACATTGTCCAGGGTGTACCACGTGGAGGTAGGTCTATGGCGCGCCCCTTAAAATCTAAATTAATGCAGAAAATCGATAGTTTGTCCAGTCTGAAAGTTAAATAAATCATCTAAAAGAAAGAGGGATCAAAAGGTAAAGATTTGCAGAGATGGTGAGATTAAGATTAAGGGAGCTTAGAAATCTTGTACAATATTTTTTAATCCATTACTTACGTTTTTAAAATTCAAATTTATTAGTTGTCACCTATTTAACTTAATTTGGTTATAAATATTTGAATTAAATTCACAAAAATTCAAAAAATAATTTAATATTGACTTAGTAATTGGTTATAACTTTAGTGAAGACCAATCACAAGCTCCAATGATCATAATACGCGCTTATTTCTTCTCTCTGATTGGTTCATTAATAAACCAATCGGGTATGGTAAACTGACCTTTCGAGAAATGGATAAATAGACAAAATCAAGACTTGTCTTTTCTTACCTTACTTGACTTCTTCATAAGTCCCAAATTGTGAGAAATCAATATAAATTTATTGTTTGCATTTCATACATAGGTACATATGCAGGAAAATATTGACAAATCTGACCCAACATATCCACCAGTTGTTTCAAATTTGCCAAATGCAGCGGACTTCAGGAATAGAGTCGACTTGTTAAGTGCCGAGGCGGCGAATTTTTGGTACTCATACTTACCCTTCTCGCAACTGATGCCCCCCTCACATTTATTTCAATTAATGAACTTCCCAAGAGGCCCCCTTATACCTTCCACAACTACAAGGCCCCAATCTTTCGGAAGTCCATTTTCCCTACCTACAGAGCATTCACCATCAAGCTCACCAACAGGTTCTCATCTTCAGAATGAAGAACGCAAAGTCGAAAATAGTGTAGAAGTTGCATGCGCGAATTCCAAGGATCCTAAGCGCAATCGGACGTCATTCTTGACGCAACAAAGCGAAATTCTGGAAAGAGCCTTTCAATCTGAGCGTTATATTACGAAGACACAGAGGGTCCAATTGGCCCAACAATTAGACCTCCCGGAAAACACAATCAAGGTAAATCTAATACGCGAATTATCTGGTGTTAAAGCAAAAAAACTTATATGAGACTTATTGAGGTACTTTCTTAAGGTTTGGTTTCAAAATCGACGCATGAAAGAAAGGCGAAAGTCAATGATGCTTCCCAGTAATATCGGTAAGTCCTATCATTTATATTGAATTTAAGCTGCTTTGAAATCTTTCATTACATCTGTAATTGAAATGATTAAGTACATGTTCATTCATATTTAAATCAACCGTTATTATTATTATTATTGATATACGTTTTTCAACTAATTGTGAAAGTCATGAAGTTGGCAAAGCGAGTGATGATGCACAATAAGTAGAGTTCAGATTATTGCTTATTACCACGTGCAATCTCAGTGATAATTTGACTTTCAAATGGATAGTGAACCGAAGTGATCTGATAATGAGCACTTGAGGTTGTAGACGGATGGTGAACTTTTTAATTCAAAACTGTTTAAAACAGCAGCATCTGCTCTTGAACTTGAAATTTCGAATCTCTTTCCTATCTCATTTCAACTTCTATCTAGAGCAGAATGATTTTGTAATGACAAGTAGAGATGTTAGCGAATATCCGTTCCTCAGTTAAAGACTTCCGAGACTATCAGTTGAAATCGCTGTCCTTCAAGGAGGTCAGCGTCATTTCAACGAAGGATCAGTGATGTTGATGGCTTTTCCCACAGGTAAATTCTGGTCACCTTCCTGCTCTCTGTTGTGAGCGGCGCATATTTCCACCAAAGGTAAAGGATCTAACATCCTCTCAGTTTGCAAGGTCCTTACATTTCACTGAAAAAGAATTTAATCTGCTTTTTTCATACGATACAATTTTATTTGAATTTAGAGCACTTCATATGGTCAGTTAAGGAAGAAGTTGGAACAGTGCCGATTACAATGTAAGTGCCTACCTTACTCGACCCCAAGTAGCTCATTGTTATCTTGGGACAAATGAAGGCTGGGATTGCAATCTATAGTCATTTCGTGCCTGCATTTATAAGTACATATGAGATTGGAGAGTGGGGGGGAGTTTGAGGGCCGAGGAGTTGGTTAAGAGGTTAATGAGGTACAACTAGTCAAAATTAACTTCAGAAGTGCACTATTTCACATTTCAGTTTTGAGAAGAGAGAGAGATCATTTAAGAATGCATCTTCTGAAAGCTCCAGTTTTTGCTCAATACATCTACTGGCATTTCCAGTTTCTTTGAACACTTGTCTCGAATTATGAAATGTGGGAAATATGTGGAAAGTGCTAATGAGCTGTCTCTGAGGTTATTTAAAATGTTCTCTTCCTGTTTTAACCCCCCCCCCCCCAAATTCCAATCCAACGCAATTCGATGAAACAGGACTGTTGGCCACTCTGGACTTCCAAAAAATTTGATGTGACTAGCCCTGATTTTCAAGTTACTGCAAGTATTGTCGTTGACGAGGCAGGGGGTTCGTATTCAAAACAATCGCTTGATGATCATGTTTTTTTATTCATCAATTAGTGATAACTATTTTCTAGCGTTCATTTTTCATTTTTATTTTATTAGCCATGAAATAGGATGAACTTTTTATCTCCATTATAACCTTTTTATTTCAATATAAAGGGAACATAATAACAATAACCTGAGGTCATTCATAATGCCATCGTTTAATTGAGTTCTGAATCTGTCTCCTTAAGTGTATCAAAATGACTACTTACAATTAAGCACAATTAATTAAGTTCAAGATACTGAAGTTCAAGTAATAAAATTTTGTCATTGCTTGGGTCAGTTAACTTAATAAATTTCTACCATTCCTCATGGCTCTGGACTTGGGCGGAAAAGTATATGTTTGCGTGTATTCGTCTTTTTTACAGTTTTCTACTCTACACCCCTAATTCATTGTTATCATTTCTAATGTCTTAAACTACTATCCTCAGTCCCAGCAAAAATCACAGTCTTCGAAAATGGTGAAATGTTTATTGGCCCAAAAAGGGATGTCTTCATTCCAACGGTAATTTGAAATCTTTGCTATAGTTCTAGTTTATTTGAGCTCCGAGTCCGTCTGTTGAAGCCCCCTTCACATTGTGAACATGCTTGAGAAACATCCATGTCTCAAAATTTAACAAGAGTTCATTGTTTTCAAATTCGGTTAGAAGACCTGGTTTCTTCTAATGTTAGGGGTGTGTAACAGACTTACCTCCACGTGGTGCACCCTGGACAGCATATACTCATACACAAAAAGTCGGCAGTTTCTTCTAATAGCCAAGGCAGTTTCAATATGGTGAGAAGTGGGACTTTATTTATCTTAATATTCTGCCAAGAGAAAAAATTGTCTGTTTATTTATTTGTTACTGTTGAGTTGTTTCATAGAATTGCCAAATACCCGCTTAACTACTTAAAATTTCATTTTTTGCAGTAAACAACCCATGGGCACGAGAAAGGCTGATGGAATATGCAAATGAACTATGCCAGATGCGCGAATATAGGAATTATGCAGAAATACCCGAAACCTCCTCTTCTTCGAGCACGCAACCGTCTTGTGATGTTTCGACATTCACCGCAAATTCGACTTTTTCCGTCGAAAGCTTTTATTCCCCGGATTTCAAACCCACCGACAACTAAGTCTGTGACTAATAAATGACATGACAATGGGGTGAATGAGAACTATTTAAGGGCAATAACTATGACTTTTCAACATGCATTGCGAATCAAACAAAAAAATATACAAATAATATTCAAGAGAGAACAGCACTTGCCATAACTAAAAACTCCTTTTATTTAATAGTTCATTTGATAAGGAAAAATAGGCTGGGGCCATTGGATTTTCTACGCATGCGATTGGTGCTTTTTGTGCCCAATCACATTTGCTCTCATTTTATTGGTTAAGAGCGTATAAGTGTGCAGTACTATTCCCGCCTGATCTTCCCAAAATGAACAAAATATCACTAATATTTTGTTAGTCATGAATTAATTTTACCAAATTTAAAATTACAGAAGCTTAAGGCTCTAACATGATAGATAATTTAGTAACGATGATAATGTAATGTGACCCAGCAGATAGATTTGAACCAACCAATGACATGGGTTCATTGATCATTTGTAAGGAGTCGACTATGATGGAGTATTTCTAACTCCCTAAATGAAAACGCCGAGTTTGGCCAGGTGATTGCTTGGTAGCTAAGCCCAGTAGAGTGAATAATTAATGAATAATCAGTAGAATTGAGAAAACTTGACAGTTGGAATGTAAAATATCTTGGAAACAAAGAAGTGTAAGTTTGAGAATAAGGAATTTCCTGCGACCTCCTAACCGATTCAAAATTGACTTCGTGATATAACATTGCCACCAAATGCAATGCTCATCGCATTGACCTATTAATTACAAATACAGAAATATACATACATTTCGGCACAGAACAACCAAATAACTACCTAGTGAAGGTTGTGTGAAGAAAAGTTTTTCCCATTATGTATTTTGATGCTTGGGGTTAGGAACTTATCGATTCGAGAAACCGTCTCAGATACATTCAATAGCACTGTATATTCACTGAAAGGTATATATATATATATATATATATATATATATCCAGACAACATAATTGGCATAGTGCTATCCTAATGGTCTCTATTTCTCCTTCGATAGCGGATCTATTGTGTCCCGCTACTGCGTAGAAAAAGAAGAGTTCAAAGAAGACACCTGCACCAATGTTTGCTTGGTTTTCTATGTACGACAGATCAGTGAAGACTTGGAACCATTGATCTGCAGGATAGTTGACATTGATTGCCTCAAGGGCCAGTGAGCTCATCTGTTCTGGAGGGGTGTTTGATTTCCTGAAGAGGTCAAGCAGTTGTTTGCAACACACTACATCAGTGTCTGCTAATGGGTTCATGGGTAGAGAGAGGCTTTTTGGTTTGTCATCGATTTGTAATGTTTTCTTCAGTTCTGTGGCTTTCTATATTAGACAAGATTGCGTTTTCAGATGTCTTGGTCCATTCTCATAGATGCTGAAGAATTTGTTCATGGTAATGTGCAGTAGCTTCTCATACAGGATCAAGACCTTCTCTTTGATAAGGGAACACATTGTGGTGCTCCCTGTAACCAGGAGCATTGCATCAATGGGTGTTGATTTTATCCCTCCAGTAATAAATCGTAATGCTTGGTTGTGTGCCCTCTCGAGTGGTTTGAGAGTGACCTCAGTGGCTGTAATGAGTGGCTTACAGAAATACAACATTATTGGCTGAATAAACATCTTGTAAGTGGTGTTGAGAGTTGAGTGTGCACAGCCCCATATGCTACCATCAAGACGCTTCAGTACGTTCAGTCTATTGGAGATTCGTTCTGCTATTTTAACAATGTGATATTTCCATGTTAGCTTTGTGCCAAACGTCATTTATATGGTAGTATATTTGTACCTTAGAAACAGGTTTTTGCTGTGACGGGCCAAAGAACATATTTGGAAAGCAGTTTTCGCGGTGTTGATTACCATTCCATTATTGTCGCACCAGTATGTTAGTAGTTTAAGTGCACAATTTAGGACACTTTCTGTCCTGTCCTCAGCATTTTTCTTAATAGCGGAATACCATAGAACAAGATCATCTGCATAAATTAAGCACTGGATGCCCCTGACTGTCTGCACTAATTCAGCTATGTCATTGATGAAGACATTGAAAAGAGTGCAACTTGTGACAACTCCCTGTGGATGGCCTGATTGCGAAAGGTTGGATTTTGATAGAGTATTTCCATATCTGACTTTACGTGATCTTTGTCAAATGAATGCTTTTATCCAGTTTAGCATGTTATGCTTAATACCAATCTTNGAAACGTACATCCTGCTCCTCCCACGCCAACCAATTTTTATGCATGTGTGTGTGTGAGTACCGTTTATTTAGCAGATGTGTGCAATGAACTTTACGCTACCAACACACAGCATATCATAATGCCATTAGCTTGCTCATGGCAAATCGCAAAAAAATGTGCCTGCAATTGCAAGGCAACACAGAATCAAAATTTGGAGGTAAAATTTAATAGATACACTAGTTGAGTAGGCGGAAGTATTCTTCTGTATTGATGTGTTTCCTAAATCATTTAACAACAAACAACAACAACAACGGTGAGACAAATAGCCACGCATGTCGATAAAGCCAGTATTAAAAGCTCATTGGTTGGATATTCAAATGTGATTTCTGTCATATTGCAATGCTCGCTTATACAGATGTCGATTTTAAACTTTACAAATCGTAAAAAAGCCTATTCAGAATAACCGAATACTCAGTTTATGATGTTATCATGGGTGTGCGATAGATTTAACTTCACGTGATGCACCCTGGCCAACGATACTCATACAGTAAGAAAGCCTATTAACCGGCAGTTGACTTCGGACTTCAAACTACCACCATCCCACTGTGCGCCATATCCGACTACTTTCACAGTACTCACCTTACCTTCTACTCTATCTTTGTGTCTGTCTCCTTTATATCTTTGAAATACTCTCCTGTTCCCCCCCCCCTCGACTTTTTTCACTTTGATATTTCTTCCCCTCTATCAACTTTTTCTCACTTTGATGTTCCTCCTCCCTGTGAAAATTTTTTTCACTTTGATATTTCTTCCCCTCTATGAAGCCTGAAGTCAACTAAAGGGTTAATGATAACTATCAAAACGCCTGCCATTTGAGATAAATAAATAAATGATGTTATCATAAAGATTCATCGCTTTGGAACAGGTATACTCACAATTTTCATAACCCGAGGGCGCATGAAGTAATTGAATTATAAATGACCTTTTAAGTCTGAATGTGGGAATTGATTAGGTCATCACAGGTGTGCTATAAATCTGAGGTCAATTAATGACCTCGAAATCACCTAACAGTCTTTCTCAGGGCAGTTCATGATCATTCACAACGCGTAAAAATTATGTGAAAGTAATTTTGAGTCATTACTCATGAGTGAAAGCCTCAAAAGTTTAACATGGTGCTCAGTTCATCAATTACATTGAATTCAACCAAATCAAATTGCGATTAATTCAAAATGAAATAAAGACGTAATGGGTCTGACAGCCTGCTCTACCGAGATCAAAGTTAATGCAATTAACTTTAAAGAAATAGAAATATCCTCCATGTGATAAAACGGGTCAATTAGGCTTCAAATTCGCCTACGAGAATTCCTTCAGGAATTTGGTCTATGAATTATAAAGTGCGAATTCTGGTAAATGAAGCAGTGAACTGGCAATAAGTGGCTCGTCTTCAAAGAATGAATGAAGACCTAACTCTTATTCTCACCATCTTTCCCACTCCCTTAAACCCCAATCAAACACTACTGATAACCGATTTCAGTACACAATGGCAACTCTCAAAAACTTTTATCAAGTAGTAATGAAGCACGATGTCATTAAAATATCCATTAATCTCGACAGTATAACTCCTAGTAACTGTGCCATTTAAAGCTGTGCATCTTTGTGTCCGTATCGTATTGTTAATATCAACTTAAAGCTGCGCATTCTTTCGATCATGTGGACTTAATGAAGCATTTAAGTTTATCTGCCAAATGCAAAATTTGCAATATATACATTTACACATACTTGTCATTGACATTGGCTGCCTTTAATAGTAAAATAAAATATATTAAAGAAGGTAATATCCAATTTAATTCATTTGACATTAAAGCACTCTAGTATCTAACTACAATGTTCGATCTTAATGTCTTTAATTTAACAATCCAATTAACTCAACATACTTGGGGTTTAAAGGATTGACCTTTCGTCCTACATTTATTGCATGTATAACTGTAAACTAGAAATGTTATTCATTATATCTCAGTTTCCTCTATTCCTCTTTAAAGTTTATCATTTAAATGGGGGGGGGGTCGATTACGTGTAGCGAGTTACTACACCAATAAGTCTCGATTAATTCTCATCAATCCATATGGCAAGTTCACCTACTTGGAAAGGCCTCCGGACTTGAGCTAGCGCAATGATATAAAGGAAGAAGACGTATTGTGAGTGAAGCGTTTATTGAAATTATATGATATCAGCAAAAATTATTAGTCATCGCTCACATCTAGCATAATTTCAATAAACATTAATAGCTGATTGCTTGAGCAGTCCTCTGCACGCATGACCGCACCCTCCAGAATCTTCGGGGGCATTAACCGATTTCTTTTAATTGAGTGTGCAAAATTGTTGGCCAGAGTGCAACAAATAGATTCCAAACAATTGCAATCGTAAATATAATAACAGTGGTAAATTTTATTAAGAGCACAAATAGAGAGGCAGGACTGAGTACCATCTGTTGGAAACTCCCAAATCAAAATGCATTCATGAAATACATGCAGGTTGAATAGACAGAAATTGTAACCATTTGAAGGACGTAAAATTCTATTTTACGAAACATTTTAGTTCCATTAGGGGGGGGGGGGGGGGTGTGCGATAGACTTACCTCCACGTGGTGCACCCTGGGCAACGTATACTCATACGGCAAAAAAGTCTATTAATCGACAGTTCACTTCTGACTTCAAACTACCATCACCCCACTGTGTGCCATATTCGGCTAATTTCACAGTACTCACCTCACCTAATTTCTACCTTTGTGTCTGTCTGACTCTTTTACGTCTGTGAATCATTATTCTGTCCC